TTTAATCTTAATTTTTTATTTTTCATCAAAAATAATTAAATAATAAATTATTTTTACACTTTAGATTCCACATGGTATATGACATGGAAAAAGAAATCCAATAAAATAGTCAAACTTGATACATAGTAATGTGTTAATAACGTTAATGAAAACTAAAGGAGATGGACCAATATGAATAATTTTTTAAAATAGAGGAACTAAAAAAGTAAAGTATAAGGACCAAATCAAATAAAAAATAGAATATTTTTTGCCTTATTTTTTTTATTTTTAATAGAACTTACATTATTTTTATGAAATAAAAATAATTTTATAAATATTTTTTTTTAATTTTTAGATTTATTTTAAACATAGTTCAATTTAATTTAAAATTTTGACTGTGATAGTATATGCTCCAATCAAAAGTGTCAATAACTCAACAATTTATTCAAATTCTAAAATTCTCCTCTATATTATAAAAATGTACAAAATTTCCTTTATACTATTCTTTATTCAAAATGTTGTTTGTATTTCTAAAAAAGAGACATAATTTCACCCTACTGTTAGGTCCAGCTAATGCCATTGGGGAGGTATTGAGGTGGCATGTAACATGTCAAGTGATGTGCCACCTCATTTAAATCTACTAACTGGATGACACATCAGTAAACACATCATTGCATGTCACCCTATTTTTTAGACCCTCTTTCAATTCACCCAAGTGATATAATTAATTTACATATCTTTTTTTCATCTTTTTTGTCCCTAATGTGCCATAAAACCAAAAATATAATGTTTTAATTTTATTGAGCTTGGCCTCAATAACGCCACTTGGTTGGTGAGTGTAGCGATGATGATAGTGTAATAGTAGCAACAATGAGGATGATGGTTTCCTCTCAACTTTCCAACAAGTTAGGTTATGCAGCTTTATCTAAGTCAATAATGCATCTTCTGCATGTTTAACCATATTGATGAACTTATTGGTCAAAAGACTTAAAAAGTTCAAACACATTATTATTAATGGTGCCCATATTGCACCTTCATGGGATGTTAATTCCAACATCAATATGTACCCTTATTTTATGCTAAAATACTAAAATTTATATTGTATTATTCAAAATGTTCAAATTTTACTTACATTATTTTTTTGTCTAAATCAGTCTAAAGATTTTAAAAATGACACAATTAACCTCCTCCCTTTTAAGGTCATTTAATGTCCTTATGTATGAATGATGTTGTGATGACATCGCGATGATGCAACATAAATTTTGAACGAACATTAAAATAAGCACATGTAACAACATGTAAGCATCGTGCCATCGCCATGCCAGACCCTTTTAATGGGTTAAACACTACAACCTGAATATGTTAGGGCTCCATCACCATCCTACTCTTTTCGTCATCTTCCTGGACATCTTCTTTTTGGTGTTTGAAGTAAAATTCCTATCGAACTCCATCGTCGATGTTCAAATTAAACAATAACCTGAAGCTATTATGGTTCCACCATTATCTTTTTCTTTTCATCATCTTCTATGGCTTCTACTTTCCTTAATGTGTAGAACTTATGAATGAAATTCCAAAAGAGTTGGTAATGTTGAAGTCATTGTTCAATTTGACTCTGAACAATAACAATTTATCAAAAAAAATCCCTCAAGAACTCGACAACTTAGCATATTTATCTTATCGTGATTTGGCCGCAAACAATCTAAATGGCCTACTACCCGTGAATCTAGACTAATTCAAAAATTTTATGCTTGAATTTGACTAAAAACCAACTCCATAGAGATACATTCCAAGGGAGATTGGCAAGTTTTAGTCCCTACATATTATGTTACACCTTAGTAGAAACTCACTTTCTGTGGAAATTCTATGGTAACTTGTACATCTTGTTAAATTGGAAATCTTAGATCTTTCCAACAATCAATTTACTAGGTCAATTCCATCATCTTTCGGAGACATGAAAAGCTAGAGAATCATAATTTTTTTCACAAGGTCTCTGGTCAAATTCTAGAAAATCAAGCCTCTAAAAAAGATATTAATACAAAATCATTTAGTCATAATAGAGGACTTTGTAGTAATTACTCTAGCCTCTTAAATTATCCTGATTGTAGCGATGTGGCAATGAAGCATTCTTGATCATCATCCCTCTTGTCATCAACATTCTAAGCTTTAAATTATGTTGTTTAATTTAGACATCAATGATGGAGTCTAATGGGGCATTACACTTCAAGCGGCAAAAAGAAAATGCCTTAAAGATGTTGAAGAGAGGAGGATGATGATGGAGCCATTATAGCTTCGAGTTATAATGTTTAACCCATTAAAAGGAGTGTGACATGGTGATGGTATGGTGCTTACATGTTTTTTGCATGTGCCCACTCTAGTTTTGACTGAGAATTTTACATTACATCATTGTTATATCATCCATCATATAACAACAGTAGGTGGACTTAAGGGGAAGGGGATTATTAGATTCATTTTCAAATTTTTTGGATTGATTAGACAAAAAAATTAGTATATGATAAATTTTGAACATTTTTTAGTAGTTTATGATAAAGTTCGATATTTGAGCCCTTTAGTTTAACTAATGAACTGTCATAACAAAGAGAAGCATGGGAAGCTATAAATTTACAAAGGTTAGTTATTTTATTATATCTTGGTAAACATCACATCGTTTGCAACCGTTAATGTAAACCATTTAACTTAGTTTTTTCACAACGACTAACACATCGTGAAGCTAATAAACGGTAATGAACTCACACTTAGTGATGAGAGTCAAAGCTCCATACTAGCATTTGAGATAAGCATTGGCCTATTACTTTTGTAGGCCTTCGACCTATTATTGGTCCTCATTTTTGTAGACATAAGTGCTTTAGATGAGGCTATTAAATATATTGGTGAATCCAGGACAGGACATACCCACTGGCCTCAACTTCACTCTCATTCTTAACCATCTTTCTTTTTATTTACTAAGAAATAAAAACTCATTATTAACTATTTTTCTTATAAAGCACAACTCTTTTTAAGGATTTCTCTTTCTTCTTTTATAAAATTCAAATAAATGTAGATGAAGAATCACAAGATTCTCTCTCTTAAAACTGGAATACAAGATGAAACACTAGATAATTAGAAAATTATAGATCAAAAGCAAAAGAAAGTTTTTAGCTTCAAAAATTCAAACTTTTTCACTTGGGATAAGTATTAAACATTGTAAGTAAAGTTTATTTATACTCTAAGACTTAAAGTGTCCATTAGACACATAAATTTTTTAGCATTAAATGTGTGTAGAACTTATGAAAACGTATGTCTGTAATATGCAGGTTGGGACAGATATGATCTTTACATGAACCTCACAATGAGCCTTACATGATTCACATCCTGTTTTCCAATGAGTCTCACATTATTCACATATTTTCTCACGCGACCTGCCGCATTAGTTATTTTTAAATATAGTTTTGATCCAAATTTTTTCTTTCAACTATTCTTACCTTGATAAACATATTTAAAGAAATATTTCAACAAAAAAGATATTAAATTATTGTCGTTTATAAAAAATATATTTCAAAACAATAAAAACATGTAATTCTTGAGGCTTAATTTTGTAAATCACCTTGGTACATATATAAGCTATTTCCTTCAACAAACTTATATCTTTTTTATCTATTCTTCTTGCTTCAATGCTTTTTTAAAGATCTTCATGTTCCATGCATTTTTTCATAAGATGGTTATACTACGCATTTCAAAAACTTACAAATAAGTATTAGAAATATTAAGGATTGTTAATCATCAAAATCAATATAGTTTTCTCAATAATGACAACTTATGGAAGATTTTGGTTATTGTTACTTAAAATTTAATGCCTATAATTCTCAAAGAACAAATAATAAAGTAATGAAGAATTTTTCATTGCCAAAAAAATGATTTTAATATTATGAAGCTTTGTCTCGTTAACACCATTTGTGGCGATGAATGTGACGGTAATAATTGTGACAACGAGGAAGATGGTTTCCTCTCAGCTTCACAGATCGTGATTCAAGTTCAGAATAAGAACTCAGAGGCAATGATCATTAGTCGACTCTAAATTCGAAGATGAAAAAGTGTACAAAGAGGAACCATCAGTATTGTCCTCTATAGGAAGAAGAAAGGAGGCGATGAAGATGTGTTTGAAAAAGATAAATGTGTGGTATTTTCTGGTTTTAGGGCATAAAGGGAATGGAAAAGATAAAAAAGATGTTGACATGCTTGAATAAGGAATTTTGGGCTTAACAAGATGGGTTAAAAAATTTTAGTGAGTGATGACATGTCAATTATGTAGCATTTATATCAATAAAATTAAAATACAACAACACGTTATATGACATATCACGTGCCAAATTAGTGGTGCACCAATAGCGTAAGTAAGTTCTAATAAAGATGGAGAACTTTTGCTCATTTTGAAAGTATAGAGGAAACTTATAAACAAAAAATAAACGTACAAGGGAAACTTGGAACATGAATATTGATATTTTGCCCCTTCTTATTATTCTTAATAGAATTTACATTATTTTTTGGCCAAAATAAAAATAAATTTGTAAATAAATTTTATAATTTTTTAGATTTATTCTAAACAGAATATTAAATTAATTTAAACAATCATTTGTAATCTCATATTTAACACTCTCATTCTCAAACATCACTAATTTAATAATTTTTTGAACTTAAAATATCTGGTACTAAAAATTTAAATTCAAATTATTAATATTGTGTGATTTTAATTATACCCGAAGTTTATTGTATAAAAATATTTTTCTGTGCTAAGTGGAACAAATTAAAATTATTATTATTATCATTATTTATGAGTAAAATAAAAAATAATTGTTATAAATTTCTTATTAATCCGCTCTAAACTATCATGGGATGAAAATTGGGACATGGCTAAAACGAGAAAGGGAAAAATTTGTCGTTGGAGAACTCGATGACGTGGAATATAAGGGCAATTTGGTAAAAACGTAGAGTCACAAACCCTGCCGATATATTCATTGGAAACCCTAATTTTGTGCCAGAGCCAGCAGCCGAGCAGAGAGAGGCGGAGAAGAAATGACAACTCGATTCAAGAAGAACCGCAAGAAGCGTGGGCACGTAAGTGCTGGCCATGGTCGTATCGGCAAGCACAGGAAGCACCCCGGTGGTCGAGGAAATGCCGGCGGCATGCACCACCACCGAATCCTCTTCGACAAGTATCATCCTGGCTACTTCGGCAAGGTCGGTATGAGGCACTTCCACAAGCTCCGCAACAAGTATTTCTGCCCCATTGTCAACATTGACAAGCTCTGGTCTCTGCTTCCCAAGGACGTCAAGGACAAGGCCTCGAAAGATAACGTTCCTTTGATTGATGTCACTCAGTACGGTTACTTCAAGGTTTTAGGCAAAGGCATCTTGCCTGAAAATCAGCCCGTCGTGGTTAAGGCTAAGCTCGTGTCCAAGATTGCCGAGAAAAAGATCAAGGAGAATGGCGGAGCCGTTGTTCTCGCTGCTTAAGGTGGCTTTTCTCTTTTCTGTCTTTACCTTTGGGTAACCCTAGATGCTTTTAGTAGTTTCTACTTTGGATAAGTTTGAATATTTTATAAAGCATGTTTTCTTTTTCTGGGTGTTTTTAGTTGATATGGACACTCTGTTATTCAGATTTATATACGGCGAACTCTGGTGCCAATTGGTACAAATGCAATCTTACTCGGTTGGATTTTTTTATTTGAGGCTGTTAATGGCTTATGCTGTTGAGCTGATTATATATTTGATGTCAGTTGATTATATTTCTTCTATTCAACTGGGTAATACAGTAAGACTTCTATTGATTGATAATGTGTCTTGAATATGATATTGGAAGTACAGAATGTTCATGTTCTGCAAGTAATGTAGGATCTCAGCTTGGGGGGAAAGAGATGACTTGATTTTAGTGTTTAAGGAGTTAGTTTTTTTTTTTTTTTAATGACATTCATTGGTAAAATTCATCTTTAAAAATGATAAAAAGTGAATTCTATGTGGAATTGGAATAATGAATTCCAGATTTTGTTAATTTTGATGAAATGCTTTATGAGTTTATTCTTTTAATCATCACCCGTACAAATTAAATAAAGACTTTATAAATAAATTACATGATGTGGATTTGTTCCAAACAATCCCTTGTAATTTAAATTAAAACATATTAATTTATTAGTTATATTAATTAATTAAAAATTATTATTTTGAGTTAAGTATCTAATATTAAATATCATATTATAATAGCAAGTAATTAATCTAATAATTTTTTAAAAAAATTGACACCTCCATTATGCCTTTCAAATCTATTCTCCACTCCATTTTTTTTTTATTCTTTTTTTAAAAAAATGCAAACCTATGAGTCAATAACTCCATTTCCACATTGCATCTTCTAATTGACTTACAAGTACCACCATTCAAATTAACTGTTAATTATTATATTTAAATAGTTTAGATGTAACCGCCCCGTAAATTTAAATGAAAATGTATGTATTAAAAATTTTAAAGGCAGAAACGTAATAAAAATTCTGATTAACATTCCTTACACAATAACCAAAAGCGTATTCAACATATGAAAGAATAAGCTAATTAAAATAGATACTCGAAATAAAAACTATAAATATAATTATAAAGTCTTTAGGCGTCTAACTCGTCGTCTTCCTGCGAAATGGGCTCGGGAATTACGTCTTCCTAATCTGAAATAGTTAAGTAAGGAATGAGCTACACTAGCCCAGTAAAGACATCACACTATCTCATTGCCACAGAAGTAAAGGTTGGTAGAAAACAAAAACGACCAATTGAGTATAATTTATAACAAACTCATTTATTAATAATAAAAACCTTTACTGTCCACTTACCTCAGTGAGATTTGTGAAAATAACATATGAAAACAATAGCATTACAACCATCATAAATCATAAACACTTTGTAACATAGCACATGTCATGGTGTGGCAGTTCAGTATAGACACATTTTTCTCTTTCACAGCCTACTAGTATCCATAGGGATCCATAGGGTTCCCGCTACACATGATCATTACATCAATACCTGATTCCAGGACCGTCTCCCATACCCCATCCGGTATGGGCGCCAAAACTATAAACCTCAATACCCCGTTCGGTATGAGGGTGAAACGGGCCGTCCCTATACCCTGTCCGGTATGGGCGCCAAAACACATAAAGTCTCCATACTCCGTCCGATATGAGAGATCACGTTCCCGGTAGGGTTTCTTACGGACCCAGTCCGTCCACCATCTCCCAGGATATCTAGTTAGGCTGTCCACATTATCCATTTATCAATTCACATAACCTTTTTTTCCCATTTTTCTTAGTCTAAATTATCCAATCATACACAAATACGTAAACCAATAATGAACACCAAACAAAACAACACAACATCGGATTCACCATAAATCAAATCGTAATAAAAGAAACTATGATTCATGTATACGAGACCATAAAATAAATACATCAAATACCATACTGCATTTAATACTGAAAAATAGATCAAACAACAACTGACCGACAATATATTAGATTCGATCTCCATTGGCAACCTCAATCAATTATATATATCTATACAGTCATAAAATACCGTTTTATCATTTATTAGACTTTAATGCCGTGATAAAAAATAGGGTGAGAGATCCTTACTTGTTTCAATGTTTGAAATCGGCTCTACAATGTGCCTACGGGCTATCCCTAAATTTCCTAAATTTTCTCCGGAAAACTGAAACGCACTACCAGTAGCTGCACGTGTCCCAAAAAATTCCAAATCAAATCCAGGGCCTCTTTTCGGCCAATATCGAAATTCTGGCACGGCGGCTCTGTCGTGCTCCGGCGACGGCACCGCCGCCCGCGGCGGCGATCCGCCTCGGGATGGCCGTTTTCGGTCAAATTTGGCCAAACTTGCATTGCTTCCTACGATAAAACAACCCTAGGACCCTCGGTGGGCTAAAAAATCACGAAAAACCAAGACTTACTGGCGGCGGAGCTCTCGGGTGCGGGGGCTTCGACGCGAGTCGCGGTTTGATGTTTTGCTCCGGTCAACATGTAGAGAAAAGGATGGTGATCACAGTAGTGTAAAAATTACATCGAACGGGAACCTGAAAGGGCCTCATCGGAGGCAAAAATCGAGGGAAGCCGTGGCGGCGCCGCTGGACTTCGGTGGTGTTTTCCGGCCGATTAGCCGATGGTTTGGCTCTGATTTGGCCATGGACGGATTCAGCATCGAAAAACGAGGCAAGGAGAGAAAATTTACCTCATTTGGCGATCGAAAAACCCTCCACTACGGTGGCGAGTGGTGGCGGCCGGCTCCTCCAGCGACTGGTTCTTCTTCTCCAGCGAGGGCACTAGCGGCTAGGGTTTGGGGTCAGGTGTGGGTGAGGTTATTTATAACCTTTCCCTTTTAATCTCAGCCATCCATCATGATTCAATCTGGGCCGTCCGCACGCGTGAGATCTGAGCCGTCCGTGTGCGTGAGATCTGGGCCGTCCGCACGTGTGAGATCTGAACCGTTCAATCGCGTGCACGCAGATCGCTCACGTGGCTCCGTCTCGCGTGGTCTCCCGCGTCAGCTTCCTTGCCACGCGGCGTGTTCTGGTTGGCTGGGGCTGCTGACGTGGCACAACTTTTCTAAATTACATTTTAACCTCCGATTTTCATTTGTCTTTTCAAAAATACCCCCAGAATTCAAATTTTTACCCCTTTTTCCCAAAATCAATTTCAATTAAATCCCAAAAATAATTTTACCATATTTTATTATTATTATTATTTTTATTTCTATTAAACTAAATTAAATTAAGTTAACCACATAATTATTACAAAATAAATTAACCATTAAAATAAAAAAAAATTAAAAAAAAATTCCAATACCCAAAAATAAAAAATTTACTTTTTGGGATGTTACAACTCCCTCCCCCCCCCCCCCCCAAGAAATTTGGTCCCCCAAATTTGCCTCCGCTCTTGGTCGAACAAATGGGGATACTGGGCCCTAAAGTCTGATTCTAACTCCCAGGTAGCCTCCCTGGGCATGTGGTTCTGCCACACAACCTTCACAAATGATATTTTTCGATTGCGGAGTATCCTACTCTTTCAGTCCGTGATACCGACTGGTACTTCTTCATAAGATAAGTTCTCTTTGAGTGGAAGCGGTTCATGAGCCAAGACATGAGAGGGGTCCGGGTTATACTTACGTAGCATTGACACGTGGAACACATTGTGGACCTTGGAGAGCTCTGGAGGCAGTGCTAGTTTGTAGGGGGCAGTACTAATCTTGTCTAAGATTTCAAAAGGCCCAATAAATCGGGGGTTCAGTTTTCCCCTCCTGCCGAACCTACTAATTTTCTTGAAAGGAGTGACCTTAAGAAACACCCGGTCGCCTTTCTCAAACGCTAGATCTCTCCTCCGGGTATCTGCATAACTCTTTTGCCTACTCTGAGCTATCTGAATGTTCTTTCTGATTTTAACTATTTTAGATGTGGTCTCCTCTACCAACTTCGGGCCAAATAATCTTCTATCGTCTACTTCTTCCCAACAAATCGGTGATCTACATGGGTGCCCATATAACGCCTCATACGGAGCCATGTCGATGCTCGTTTGGTAGCTGTTGTTGTAGGCAAACTCTATCAGGGGTAGATGGTCGTCCCAATGGCCCCCAGAGTCAAGGACACAAGCTTCCGAGCATATCTTCAAGTGTACGGATTGTCCTTTCTGATTGTCCATGGAAGGCAGTACTAAGAGATAGCTTTGTTCTCATAGCTTGCTGAAAGCTACTCCAAAACCGAGAAGTGAACCTGGGGTCCCTGTCGGATACCACTGTCACTGGAACTCCATGCAATCTGACTATTTCCTGAATATACATTCTTGCCAACTTGTCCAAGGGGTCGGTTATCCTGATGGCAAAGAAGTGGGAAGACTTGGTAAGTCAGTCAACAATTACCCAGATGGCGTCATGTCCTGAACGTGCCTTGGGTAGTCCCGATACGAAGTCCATGGTGATGTGTTCCCACTTTCACTCTGGGATCGGTAAACGCTGAAGTAGCCCACCCGGGTGCTGATGCTCTGCTTTGACCTACTGACAGACCAAGCATTTGGATACAAAGTCGGCTATGTCTCTCTTCATCCCATTCCACCAAAACTGGAGTCGCATGCTTTGGTATATTTTGGTGCTTCCTAGATGCATGACAAACTTCGAGCTATGGGACTCTGTTATGATGTCTCTCTTTAACTCACTGTCTTCTGGGACACACACTCTATCTTGGAAATGGAGTAATCCTTCGGCAGAGATTCGGAATTCTGAGCTCACTCCCTGTTTTGCATCCTTCTTGCGGGCTACCAGGGCAGGGTCGATTGACTGGGCTTCCCTTATTCTCTGGATTAATTTGGGTTGGACTGTCAGGCAGCCCAAACATGTGACTCTCCTCAAGTCCTGAAGTCGAACCTGTTGTGTGGCCCTAATTTGCCTGCATTCTGAAACCATCAAATGGGCTAAGATACCTACACTTTTCCTGCTGAGAGCATCTGCTACCACGTTGCCCTTACCTGGATAGTATAAGATATTACAATCATAGTCTTTAAGGAGTTCCATCCACATTCTCTGACGTATGTTGAGATCCTTCTGAGTGAATATGTGTTTCAAACTCTTATGATCGGTATAGATATGAAATGTCTCTCCGTATAAGTAGTGGCGCCAGGTTTTCAAAGCGTGTATGA